GCTGACACCTCTCTTAGCAACCTGGCTGTAATGGGAAGGGTCCCGGGCACTGGGAGCACACAGATGTCTGAAATTAGTGTGGCTTTGTTCACTGAGTGTAGCGTGAGGAAGGCAGAGGACAGGGTCTAGCTTCTCAATAAAAAATGGTATCCTTTCTCACAGAGTGTGTATCAGATTCCAAGTTGTGCATAGGTGTATGGTGTCTGGATTTTTGTTGTTTGTGAATTGTGTTTGAAATCTTAGGAGTGAAGGATCCCTATAAGTAAAAGATGAACCATGACCTTCTTCAAAGTACAAACAGTAATGTGATTGGGCTTTCTAAATAAAACGAAGGCCAACTAAGTGTAGAAAGACAAGTTTATATATGTCAGTGAATTGCAAGGGAGGCTGAATAGGAGGGAAGATGAAGTAAGATGAAATTTAAAGATCTAATTTGATTTCATCACATCTATGATGCTTCTAATTTCTCATATACTCATGTGATTTGCAAAAAAATTGTATTTGTGTTTATTACGTGGTGTAAATCTAGAGATTATACTTTGTACGTGAAAAGAGGATCAAAAAGACATAAAACATCGCTTATGCAGTTTCCTTAAAAAATAAACCTTCATAGAATGACTGCCCTTTCCCATTAATATCGATTCCATTATAACTAAATCTGTGCAGTTGAAATGAAGATGCCTTGGGGTCAGCGAGAATAAAGTACTGAGTAAGTATCTGAGGCAGAGTGCTTGCCTAACTGGGTTGACACTTATTGACTTAACACAGTTCTACTTACAACTACCACTGATTAATAACTGGATAAAGTTATTATTCACAAATACTGCAGAGAACTTGCCTTATTCACTGGCAGAATAAGTGGCCACATTTGTGATGTCATTTGAGGACCCCAGAGGAGAACTCCTGTTGAAAAATCTGCAAGCCTGCCATAGTGTCTGAAATTCTTCCTTTAAGGAAATTAATTTCTTTCTGGTAAGTAGTGCCCTCTTTCTAAAATCATGCAGAAGTACCACATGAAATCCGTAACACCTGAGTGTGCACTTGTTATCAGATCATTGTCTTGCTCGACTTTATTAAACCCAATGGATGCTTAAGTCCTGTAAGAGTCTGACCTAATTATCTCTGCCCATGGAAATCAGATGGGAGGTTCTGATTTTCTATCATCTGCTCCTACTTGCTAACATTATGAGCTTGTTAATAATTGCTATTTCAAAAAACCGTTGTCAGTAGACGTGTCAGATTTAGATTTGTGGTTTCAGAAAATGTATTTTTGGAGCAAATTAAAGCATATGTTTGGCACTATAGTTAAATTTGTATTTTTAAAAACTTGATTTTTGAGCTTGCTTTTGTAGTGTTGAGCTTTCTTTAAATGGCTTGTATAATTGTGAACTTTTGCTAATGATGGGGCCCCAAAAGGGAATATATAGTAACACTAAACTTTAAATTTCTGTCAAATTAGTTTACTTAAAGGGGAGTGTTGATATTGTATTAGTATTGTTTCAAGGTGAACATTGTAATAATTGGGGGGACAAATAAACGTGAAATAAAGTTTTAAGTGACTGTGTAACTTTATATTCTAAAAACAGTATTTATGACAATATAACTGAAAACTCATGTTAATTCCAAAATGTAAGTTATTTTCATTACTTTTCCCTAAAATATTTGTATTATTTTCCCATTCTTAGTAACAATTACATCTTTACTCTCCTAAGTGCTAATAACATTTTAGAAATAACTTGATAAAGGTATCAAGTTATAAAAGTCAAGAAAGCCTTTTAGCAGTACATAAAATGAGAGCCCAAACAACATTCACTTTCTTTTTAAATTCTCAATAATCTTTAGGTGACTTAGGGATATAACATAAAATAATTCTCTAAATGTCTTTACAGGGCATCAGCCTCCTTCCAACCCTAGTTGGAGAATTGTGCTTAAAATTAATGACTTTGCTATTTTTTTTGAGAAGATAGTCTTTCTCTCTTTTTTAAACAGATTAGCCCTGTCAGAACTAACCTTACAAGTAAGTTCCAATATCTACAATTTCTTTCACGCTACCTATTGTGGTGCCAAAAATATTTCTATGGAAGATTTCATTTATTTGGAGAGAGTCCTAAATAGGAGGAGAGGTAGGACATATGCAAAACAAATTTTGTATATATCTCAATTTTGCTTAGGGTCTTCCCTGGCCCAAGACTTACAATATAGACCACAACACAGCAATATACTACAAAGCATGAAAATATAGTCACAAAGTTAGGTATAACCAAAATGTCTAGCTGGCAAGTCATCATTGAAGGTAAGCACTGCAAAACATTTCACACTGGCATACCAGCTGAAAATGGACAATTTGGGTTTAAAGCATTTCTGCAACTTGAATCATCTTAGGTTAGGGATTCATAAATCTTTTTGTCAGAAGGACAAAAGTCTCTTTTATTTTTTTCCACTGAAGTCTTGAGATGACAGGATATGGGGATAGGAAAATTCCTGAACAAAGTGGGCTTGAAGGAGTCATTTTGAAAAATCTAGTTTGGTTTAGTTCAGTAATTTTCCAGAAAGTGTTCCTAGGCCAGTTAGGTGACTTTTCCAGCCAAACTCTCAGCTTTTGTGGGCTAATGTATATTTATCCATCAAGAAGGCCAAGGACTATCAGGCCAGGTGTACCACACAGATCACCTTTTCAAAGGTCAGAGAGAGAAGAATGAAGAAGATATTTAGAGAGAAGCTGGCTATCTGGATTCCAACTTGTTCCTCTTCCTAGGTCCAGCAACCTGGCCTGGGGCCTATCTACATTACGGTCCTGGAGTCACCCCATCTTTATAGCCCCCCTTTTGCTAGTTACCCTGAATGTTTTTGCCACTTGTAAAAAATCTTGAAAAAAGACAGGTTACAAAGACAGAGATGTTTCCAGATTGCCTCAGTTATTAGGGAGTTATTCTATGATACAAAGGAAATGAGAACAAACTGGAAACAGGCCTCATAGACCAAAACATTGTTAAAATAGAACTGGCAGTTCTCGTGGCCAAACACAATGCTGTTGCAGGTACAACGTGTCTAGCTCCCAACTCCACTATCATGGTGACTCATGACCCTCTGTGGTGGCTTCCGTTGCTCCCCTTGCCCCTGGGGAATTTCTCCATAGCAAGGCCTCTGTTCTACCTTTTACCTTCCCTGCCTGTGTCTCCTTGTGTCTGTGTCACTTTGACCACACCCCTGTCTATCCCATACTCAAAATTCCAGGAGAGGCTCTTATTGGCTTAGTCAAATCCAGTCTAGAATGTAGAGTCCCTGCCAGGCCACTGCACAGGCCTCTGGGCAGCCTTTGGGCCAGAGTGGCTGGGTAACATGGAACCTAGATCCTAGGCACACAGAACCTTTTGAGTTACCTGTTCAAAATGGGGCTGTGAGTACAGTAGGTACTTAAAATGTCATGTGCAGTAAGGTGGTGTTGCAAATTATCACCTATGCTGTGAACTCAGGAATGAAATGGGAACCCAATAACACATTGCTGAAAACAGCTGTATACTATTTTTGGATCCAGAAAAACATATTTAGCAATGGTTAAATGAGCCAAATAAAACTCATGTTATCTATATCATAAGAACACATGCAAGTTCAGTTCTCCAATAGTTCTTACCAGAACGAGAACTTCATAAAAAAGAAATGTAACTGAAAGCAAAATCCAAAACAAACCCAAACTACTATAAAAAAAAACTGTGGTTATGGTTGAAACTATAGATTTACACAGCTGGGATGGAAGGAGCCAGGATTTCCTAGAACCAGTATTCAACTGCTATGTTTAGAAGCAAAGGTCAGTGGAATAGTAGAAATAATTTCTTCTGGGAAGCATTTCCTCACCCTCAAATCTGGGTTATGATATTTATGTTTACACATAAGTTGTTATTTTTAAATTAATACTTTTAAGCAGCCACTTGAACTTTTGTGCACCAAATATTGATAAACATAAACAAAACTCTTCAGGGGCTTCAATTTTTTTAGTGTAAAGGGGTCCTGAGACCAAAGCGTTTGAGAACCACTGTCCCCCAGCATCCTTATCATGTGCCAATCATCCTAATTCTGTCTCTCCTGAGCTATGCCTGTCTTGTTGACTGCTGGGTCGCCAGGGCCTAGTACACTTCCTAGCACTTAGTAGGGGCTCCATAAACACCAGCCCAATTTAAAAATCTGGATCTCTGCATTTTCAGCAATGTGTGGAATTTCTGAAAACAAAGCTCAGTTTAGAGGAAAAGCATGCTGTCTCTTTCTAAAAGAAAAACAAAGACACGGAATTACTCGGCCAATAAAGCTGGTGTTTACACTGGGATGTTTACATTAAGTTTCAAGATTGAGCACCTCTGAATCCTGGAGTACAAGAGGCAGGCAACGGCTGCTTCCTACATTCCCAAAGATTCAAACTCAAGCCTAAGGAAGGTGTTGAGACCAGTAAAAAAAGGGAGCTGAGACACTAGGAAAAGAAGGTTGGCCCTTCCACCTCGTTCGTTCGTTCATTCATTCTCCCACTCATTCAATCACTCCGCACTAGACACCAGATCCCGTGCCAGGAGCATAGGCTTCAAAGACGAACACGAACCCGGTTTTATTCCAGGAAAATTGTAAAGAAATAAGTAAAAGACGCGGTTCCCGCGCGGGGAAGAGGCCTTAGGGCGAGGAAGGCGCATCTTTTTCTCGATGCCAGAGAAACCAGTCCTGCCCGCCCCACCCACTCCCCCAAGATGGCGCCTGAGGCGACACCCGCCCGGCCCGCCGCGAGGAAACATTCCCATGCCTTCCTTCGGGCTACCGTCCAGGCCGGCCTGTCTCGACCCGCCAGAGACCCCGCGGAGCCCAGGGTCCGGGAGACGCTGTGGGGTCACCGCGGCCCTTGCCCGGCCCACATGCGGGCCCCGGCGGGCGTCGACGCGCGGCAGCGCCCCGCCCCCGGGGCCCCAGGCCGCATGCCGGCGTCGGCGCTTTTTGACGCCACTGTGGGCGTGTCGGCGCGATCCGCGACGTCGCGTCGCGCCAACAATGGCGACTGCGTTAGCCTGAGCGAGGCTTCGTTTCAACTAAATTCCTGACGTTGCTGCTGGAGCCGTAGTCGTATCAGACCCGGTCGGCGGCGGCGGCGGCGACGGCGGCGCGCCTGCGCGCTCCCGCCGCGCCCTGGACCGAGCGGCAGCGCAGAGGCCCGGCGGAGCAAGGCAGGTGGGCGGCGGCGCGGCCGAGCTCGCAGCGTCAGCGCGCGCGCGCGGTGGGCGGGAGGAGCGAGGGGCGG